AATATGTCTGATGTTATGAGAACCTGAGTTTTTGAAACCCGAGTTGTCTATTCTCTCTTTTATGAGTCTATACTAAGTCTGATATCTATAGGTATATAATATAGTGAGATACATAAAGGATAAAATCAAGCGGAGTTGCATATCTTGTAGCTATAAATGGAATTTTGATTAAATAGAATTTAATGATTACCACTTCTGTACCACAGATTTCCATGTAAACTGAAGACATTTTTCAGCCAATTGTGTATGAGTGTTTAATTTTGGGGATGAAAGTTTGCTTTTTCCATTATGAAATAAAACATTCCTTATGAAACATTTGGCAGTTATATCTTTAGGTTGAACCTTTTTTCCCCTTCTGTTTTGGTTCCTTTATAAATTGGAAATATAGCAAGGCTTCTTTAAAAAAGGTTATGAAATACTCGGTGAAAATACTCTAATTCAGTAAATATTGATGCTGTAGGGATTTTTATTATTTACAGAACTACTGTCTCAAAGGAGGTTATAGGTTAGTGTGGGAGATAAGAAAGGGGCTTTGTGAGGCCTAGCACTCTGGAAGGCTGAGGTGGGAGGATTGCTTGAGCTCAGGAGTTCCAGATCAGCCTGAGCAAGAGTGAGACCCCTGACCCCTCTTCCCCCATCTCTACTAAAAATAGAAAAAATTAGCTGCGAGTCTTGGGGCATGCCTGTAGTCCCAGCTACTCAGGAGGCTGAGGCAGGAGGATCGCTTGAGCCCAGGAGTTTGAGGTTGCTGTGAGCTACGATGACACCACTGTACTCTAGCCAGGACAACAGAACAAGACTCTGTCTCAAAAAAAAAGTTAATTTAAAAAAAGAAAAAGGCTTTATAAATGGTAAAGCATGTGGATTTTGTGATATAATTCTTGGTGTACTTATTTTTACATATAATTAATGGAGTTCAAAACCTGGAGAGTAAAAGGAGGGAAAGCCATGCAGCTGAGTAGGGGATAATGGGGTGATGAAATTGTTCTTTACAATTTTTTTTTTTAAATTATAAAACAGAGTATCAACTGTGTTGCCCAGGCTAGAGTTGTACCATTTTTGACAGTAAATTTTTAGGGGGGTGGGATCTCTCAAAAAGTTGGAAAAAGTAAGGATTTGGCAAAATGCAAGTTGTCCTTGGTTAGAGGAATGGGTACTTGGGGGAGTAGTACACATAAAAGGTGAAGCTGAAGAGCTGGATTGGGAATTGTACTGTAGTCCTTGAATCATAGTTTAAGTGTATTTTGAATGACTTTAGGGAACCATTGAAATTATACCAGCAGGGAAGTGGCATAATTTAGGGAGATATTAAATCTAGTTGCTTCGTGTGTGTGTGTGTGTGTGTGTAACCACAGTAGGAGGGAATTGAACAGTCTAGAGAGGAGGCTGCCAAGGACCTGAATATTCCGTGGATAATTCATGATTTAAATTCAAACAAAAGAATTCAGCCCAATATGTGGGAA